AGAGAGAGAGAGAGAGAGGAGAGAGAAAAAAAAGAAGGAAAAAAAAAGGCCTCTCAAAGGCTTGTACACACTGGAATTCTGAGAGACTTGACATAAAACTGTAAATACTTTTTGTGATATCCAAATCAGTAACACAACAGACTACCGTGGAACAATATATGAGCTTTAGGCAGTCATAGCAAAATTAGGGAAAAAACCCAAAGACAAAATGTATGTCTATACTGAAGAAAGTGAACTACTTTTAAAAAAAAGGAAATAATAATTACAAGAATAAGCAGTAAATCTCAACAACTCTTATTACATGCACAGACATTTTCATTTGTACAGAACTGCTTCTCAGAATTACCTACATGCCTTTATAGGTTGTTTACACTAAACAAAACCCCAAATATATTTCATATAATATTATCTAAATATGATATTATAGATTTTATTCGTAATATTACATAATAATAAACTCATATAATCATTATATCAGGAGTAGACTGAGTATATGGACAAGAGACTCCAATACACCTTTTCTTTTTTAGGTTCACTAGCTGTAAATCAAAGGCATTTATGCTCATGTTGTTATCAATACTCCAAAATCAGAGCAACAAATTTCCATGAGGTAGCAGGTTATCACATTAGCAGAAATCGATTGTTTTTAGAGGGACTGGACTTACCTGTTGAAGTGGAATCTCATGATGAAAAAAAGAGGCAAATTAGGGGGCTTAGCCACCCGAGGGACATGAACTTACTTTATTATAGAAATCAAATGTATGCAGAGAGTCAATCACTAAGGAACTGACACAGAGAAATTTCAAGTTTGTCAATATTCTCCTACTGAAATACTAAATAGGATTTAAAAGGTGGCAAATAATATAAAATTCAAAACACAGCCTTAATATTTACAAAGCATTTACCTTATTTCATTTACTTGTCTAATGACCTCTTCTTGAGTTTTCACAACTGTCTCAATCTCTTGCTGGGAAACCTGGTGGGGGAGGAGAAAAAGATCAACATATCTTGGAAAAAGCAAATCAATCATGCTGCTGAAATTAGGCTGAGCTATCAATCACAGTATTTTTTTTTTTTCATTTATTTACCTGTCCTTGTTGACCTGGAAAACCAGTGCCTCTTTTAGCAATCTCATCTGTGACTGCAGAGACGTATCTCCTCTGCTCATCCAGAATCATGTCCAATTGCCTATTAAGCTGTTTGATTTCAAGATGAATTCGATTCTGCCCCTCAAAGATTTGCCTCAGTTCACGATCACTTACAGTTTCAAAAAGATCATCCGCTGATAAGAAAAAAGCACAGGTAGTTCTTACATATATGCATTCCTCATAAGTTGCATTGTATCATTTTTCTTGCACCCTTAAAAGTTTCCACATGGATATACTTCTTTCCCCATAATCTGACATATTTGGTGTTTATTTATCACCATTGCCATGGCAAAGGATACCCAAATGGGATCAGAAGAATTGAACAGAGAGAACCACACATTCAAACCCAGACTCCATCTTAGAGTTCCTACTTCAATACTTGGATAACGTGCAACATAATAACAGCATCCTGTTTCCATTTTATTAGGAGGCAACTATCTTTGCGTAAGCTAGCATTACATTACCAACTATCCTTCAGAAGAGATTTCCAGGTATTAGGTAACAGCTACTTTTTAGAAAAAGTAAGCTTTAAAAAGTAGCTTGAAATAGAGAAGTGACTGTACATTTTGAGTGAGTTCCTCCACAGCTTCAACATAGGAAAGAAGAAAGTCCAAAAGACTCTGTGACAAAAAGATTATTATTTCTTATCAATGGAAGGCTGGACAATATTTCAAAAACACAGATGAAGTTAAAATGGTGTAGGACCTTTAGAACAATCATAACTTATCACTGTGGAAAAAAAAAAAGATGACAACCTGAAATTTCAGGTCTAGATGCCTAAAGTACATTCCTGATACGGGTGCGTTCAAATACAGCTAATTCAATCCAGAAAAGTAAGAAATAGACTGGCTTCCATTATATTTTCAAATAAGCAGATTATTTTTTGCCCAGCTCTAAAAAACAAAATTTAAAAAAATTTAAAAAAACAATCAAAGCAAACAAACAAAACCCCCACCATGTTCCACAGCAGAACAATCAAAGTCAAAGCACTTTGGCTAAACACTCAAAAAAAGTGGGCAAGAGTCATTATTATAATTTTCCTAAATTAAATATCATTTGAAATCAGTGGAAAAATGCTGTTCAGTCTGAAATATCTTTAAACCAATGCTTGCTGAGAGCTGCAGATGTGTGGTATCAATAGTGGAAAAGGCAATTCTGCCCTACCCAGCCAAACTTAAATTTCTTATCAATAGCTTAAAATGTAAAAATAAAGGCCACTGTTTTTAACAACATCAAGCTAGAAATTCGGATATTAGCCAACCCAAATACCAATACTGAACGCCTGCTAATGCTGTGGTGCTGAAATTGACAGAACTCAACCCATGTCCAATATTAGGCAAGCATTAAAAAGTTTTTCCAAGTAAACACATGTTCCAGCACATCCACTAGCCCATCTTTAATAACCATCCATAAAACAAGATGGAAAAAAAATGTTTATTATGAATGTGCAGAAACAGACCAAAGAAATGACCTTTCAAATTTATTTTCAAATAACCAAAAAGGCCATGCTTCCTTAATCATCACTTTACAGAGGGATTCATGACCTTCTCTCCCTTCTACTGTTCCATACAGATTCTCATTGTTCCCATCATGTTTCCGTTCATTTGTTTTGTTCTCAATCCAGACATGACAAAAGGGACTTTATATTTCAGAAAATACTTCACAAACAAAAGACAAAAGATTCTTAAATAAAGTTAGTAACATCAGTAGGAGCTTAGTAAGATCAGTCAGAGTATCAGGCCCTAGTTCTGAATATCCTGGAAAGCTAATGTTTTCCTTGACAACTGAAAAATAGCTCAAATAACTTGCCTGGCTGTCCTTGCACATCAGGATGTTCCTTTTGAAATTCTTCTTTCTTTTTATCCAATTCTTGCTGAAAGTGTTCAAACTCTTCTTGATACTTCTCTTTATCTTTTTGAGGAATTTCTGCACTCCTATATAACTTATTTTCCAGCAAGGCTGTTCAGATTTCAGATTTGAAGACGTAACACAATTAGTGGAGCACATTAATATATTAAGTTGGAGTGAGAAACGAGACATTCCTATGGAGACCCATAGCTTTTTCCTGATACCTGTGTACTTTCTGCGATTAAAAAGAAATCAAGTTTTACAAAGATAGATGCTGTTCAGCAGTACAGAAGTGTTCTAGAGGTATGGGAAGTTGAAAGCAAGAACAGATTATTTTTCCACTTTCCAAACAAAGTGTACTTTTTAGTTTGTTTTCTCTGCATGTTTTGTTTTAACATCAGGATTTTTGTTGATTCAGCGTTGCTTCAAGAATTCTGGTCTTGAAAACGTTAATTAAAATATTACCAAAACATTAGAGTATTAGTCTCATTTTTCTAAAACAGATGACAGCACAGCTACGTGCCAAAATCCTGAAACAGGGATGCCAAGTATGACTTCAGAGGAAATGCCATAATCTGGTGCTACATATAAAACATATACAATAACATATTTTACTAATTATGCATAAAGATGCTTACTGTTTCCTTTCCAGGCTCAGTCAACTGGAAGGTCAGAAAAGACAGGACATCATGATCATCTGTATACAACAAACAAAACAAAAAAACACTGTTAATTGCTACTGCTACACGTTACAAATCCTGGTACTTCCCAAGTCAACCTTGCACTTGCAAAGGATCTTCAGGCAACTGCATCCTCACAAAGTCCTCCCAAGAGTTTATGCAGTGGGGAATGAGACTGCACAATGTCTTGTCAGGACAGATTGAAAGTCCTTCTGCTCTAACAGGAAAAGGCCTAACCGTATCAGTAATTTCGGAATGGGAGAGGATTAATTACGTCATCATGTCAAAAATGGGTATAATGGATCAACACTAGCAGTAAAAAAAAAAACAACTCTCTTGCAAGCCCTGCAATTCTCCATACCATTTGTCACAATTTTTAACATTTGCTACCTGCAAGTCCCCCTGTTGCTGCAGATACTGCAAAATATCCTTGTGATGGCAACACCATATCTTCCACTTTTGCACAAAATTCATAGTCTTCTTTATCTGGAGTGAAGCCATTGTTAATTAATACCTAAAAGGATAAACACAGATTTTACCACATAAATCTGTGTTAATTGCTTTGTCAGTTTACAGTAACGGTCACAAATACAACTTATCGGATAATTCAGCAGCTGATACTAGAAACCAAAAACTATTTCTTTTCTGAAAGACACTTTTTACAAAGAAAATGCATGAGCTTTCTATTTTAAAAAGGAAAAAAAGGCCTGATTCAAAGTTCAGCGTGAACAAAATTCAACATTTTCTATTAATCACCTAAGAGAACATACCACATAGAATTCAGACACATATAAAAATGTGTTCATTTCAGTTATAAGAAGCAGCAAGACAAATTAGTACGTGGAAAGGAACACATGGGGGAAAGGGATACCATCAGGAGACATGAAGGTAAGCCAAGGGATGGCAGGGCACTGCCTGAGGGTGCTAATGGGAGCATTTACGCTGTTCCAGGGAGCACTGAGGGCTTAGGAGCACACCTGAAATGCTTGTACACCAACACATGCAGTATAAGAAACAAACAGGACAAACTGGAAGCATTTGTCTGTTCCCAGAGCTACGATGTCATTGGTATTAGTGAGACTGGTGAAACGAGTCCCACAGCTGGAGTGCTGGGATGGAGGACTATAGGCTGTTCAGGATGGATAGGCAGGGCAGGCGAGGTGGAGGTGTCACACTGTATGTAATGGAGAGGTTTGACTGTACAGTCCTTACAGTTAGAGATGATGTGGTTGAGAGCCTCTGGGTGAGGATTAGGGGGATGGAAAACAAAGCAGATGTTGTGGGCATCCACTATTGATCACCCAGCCAGGATGATAGCAATAATGAGTTATTCTATAGGCAATTAGAGAAATCTCTGGATCAGTAGCCCTTGTCCTTACGGGAGATTTCAACTTCCCAGACATCAACTGGGAATACCATACTGCTGTGACAAGCAAGTCTGGGAAATTCCTGAAGATGAAGATAATTTCTCGCCACAAGTACTGAGTGAGCCAACTAGGAAAGATTCCCTCCTAGACTTGTTTGTGAATAGAGGAGGACTCGTGGGAGGTCTGATGGCAGGTGGCTGTTTCGGCCACAGAGATCATGAAATGGTTGATGTAAAAATTTTTGGTGTGATGAGAAAAAAAGGTCAGCAGAGTTGCTACCCTGGATTTTAAGAGAGCAAACTTTAAGCTACTCAGGGGGCTAGCTACCAGTGTTCCCTGAGAAACTGCTTTTGAGGGCTTAGGGGTCCATGAGTGTTGGTCAGTTTTTAAGAACCACCTTTTTTTTTTTTAAAAAAAAAAAAAAAAAACCCCAAACAGGAACAGGCAATTCCATTGTGTCAGAAGTCAAGCAAGTGGGGCAGATGACCAGCTTGGCTGAATAGGGAACCCCTCTTGGAACTCAAAAGGAAAAAGAAATTGTATGATCTCTGGAAGCAAGGTCAGGCTTTGCAGGAAGATTACAGAGCTGTGGTTCGCATATGCAGGGAGAAGACAGAAAAGGCCAAAGCTCAAGAGTTGAAACCGGCCAGTGTTGTATCAGACAGCAAGAAAGGCTTTTTTAAGTATGTTAATAGCATGAGGAGGTCCAAGGAAAACATTGGACCAATACTTGTTGAAGATGGTCACCTTACAAATAGGGATGAAAAAAAGACAGAGGCATTCAACTCTTTTTTTTGCCTTAGTCTGTACTAATACTGATAGACCTTAGGCTGCCTGGTCCTCTCCGAGTTGGAGGACCACAGCTGCAGGAGCAGTGACTTCCCATTTGTGGACACTGAAATTGTAAGGGACCAGTTGTACCAGCTGAACGTTCATAAGTCCATGGGGCTGGATGGGATTCATCCTAGAGTACTGGAGGAGCTAGCGGATGTTACAGCAGGACCCCTCTCAACTGTCTACCAAAGGTCTTGGGAGTCTGGGGAGGTCCCCACGGACTCGAAGCTAGCCAACGTTATTCCAATTTACAAGAAGGGCATGAGGGAAGACCCAGGAAACTACAGACCTGTTAGTCTAGTGCCTGGAAAAATTATGGAGATCATACTGGGTGCTATTGAAAGGCATCTAAAGAACAATGCAATCATCAGGCACAGTCAACATGGGTTCACGAAGGGAAAGTCCTGTCTAACTAATTTGATATCCTACGATAAGGTCATCCACCTAGTGGATGAAGGGAAGGTGGTGGATGTAGTTCTTCTGGATTTCAATAACCCAGGAAACTACAGACCTGTTAGTCTAGTGCCTGGAAAAATTATGGAGATCATACTGGGTGCTATTGAAAGGCATCTAAAGAACAATGCAATCATCAGGCACAGTCAACATGGGTTCACGAAGGGAAAGTCCTGTCTAACTAATTTGATATCCTACGATAAGGTCATCCACCTAGTGGATGAAGGGAAGGTGGTGGATGTAGTTCTTCTGGATTTCAATAAGGCTTTTGATACTGTCTCTCACAGTATCTGATACTTGGTGCTATGTTATTGTAAGTGAAGTACAATGCAATCATCAGGCACAGTCAACATGGGTTCACGAAGGGAAAGTCCTGTCTAACTAATTTGATATCCTACGATAAGGTCATCCACCTAGTGGATGAAGGGAAGGTGGTGGATGTAGTTCTTCTGGATTTCAATAAGGCTTTTGATACTGTCTCTCACAGTATCTGTCTGGACAAGTTGTCCAACTGTGAGATGAGCAGGTTCATGGTGCACTGGGTAAAGAACTGGCTGAACAGCAGGGCTCAAAGGGCTGCAGTGAATGGGGCTGTATCTGGCTAGTGACTGGTCACCAGCGGTGTTCCTCAGGGCTCAATCCTAAGGCCAGTGCTGTTCAACATTTTTATCAATGATCTGGATGCAGGAGTTGAACGCAGCCTTAGTAAGTTTGCTGATGATACTAAACTAGGAGGTGCTGTTGACACAAGGGACAAGAGGCCTTGCAGAGGGTTCTAGACAGATTGGAGCATTGGGCAATCATCAATGACATGAAATTTAACAAGAACAAATGTTGGATTCTGCACCTGGGACAAAGTAATGCTGGAAACAAGTATAAACTGGGAGAGGAGTGGCTAGGGAGCAGCCCTGCAGAAAGGGATCTGGGGGCGCTGATTGATGGTAGGCTCGATATGAGTCAGCAGTGTGCCCTGGCAACCAAGAGGGCAAACTGCATCCTGGGCTGCATTAAACACAGTATAACCAGCTGGTCAAGAGAGGTGATTATCCCACTGTATTTAGCATTGGTGCGGCCTCACCCTGAGTACCGTGGGCCCCACAATTTTAAAAAGGATGTTTAGGTACCTGAATGTGTACTTGAATGCAAAGAAGGGCAACAAAGCAGGTGAAAGGGCTGGAAGGCATGTCTTGTGAGGAGCGGCTGAGGACTATGGGTTTGTCTCATTTGGAGAAAAGGAGGCTAAGGGGCGACCTCATTGCTCTCTGCAGCTTCCTGAGGAGGGGACGTGGAGAGGGAGGTGCTGATCTCTTCTCCCTGGGATCCAGTGATAGGACGCATGGGAATGGTTCAAAGCTGCGTCAGGGGAGGTTTAGACTGGACATTAGGAAGCATTTCTTTACCAAGAGGGTGGTCAAACACTGGAACAGGCTTCCTAGAGAGGTGGTCGATGCCCCATGCCTGTCAGTGTTTAAGAGGCATTTGGACAATGCCCTTAACAACATGCTTTAACCTTTGGTCAGCCCTGAAGCGGTCAGGCAGTTGGACTAGATGATGATTGTAGGTCGCTTCCAAATGGAATTATTCTATTCTATTCTAAAACTGATCATGGCGTAATAATATCAATTCTGGTTCAAGAAATCCTTGACTCAGGGATCATTAAAGGCTAGTCTATAGAAAGTACATATCCGAATAAGGTTCTGGGCAACAAAAATTTTTGGTCTGATCTAGAAGAGTCATCCCTTACTGTTCCTAGATTGATTCTAAGTTTAGAGAGATTCTCTCTTCCTTCCACGGATGCATTTGCAGAACTGCTAAGGTTAGCAGCAACATTTGGGCCAGAGGAGTTCCTAGATAAGGCATCAGGGACCAGGCGCATTCAGAAAGAGAGCAGCCTTGGAGTCTGAAATTTAATTTTCATTCAAGAGTAACAGATAGCTTTTACTATTACAACACAGTACAAGGTCCACCTCTTTTAGGTGCATGCGTGTTTACTTTTAGAGAAACTTCTACTACAAAATGACAGCTATGTGTTTTATGGCTAATACCTATGAATAGCACCTTTTCAGAAGAAATCAGAAGCCAAGAAACACATACTTCATAACTGTCGTAACCCAGCACCACATTAGTATCTTTCTCTCTTTATCTAGAAGGAATTCACAGTCATCTGAATAGTATTTAAGAAGTCTTGAAGACTCTCTCATACCAGTTGTTTTCCATCTTCTCTAGTGTTCAAAGCCCTACTATTTCTTGGAGGTAGGAAGCCTCAAGTAGCAAATTTAAATCTACTGTCAAAGAGCGAGCTTCGTTTTTTCAGTCACATTTCAAGAACCTCTTACAATCAGCTACAAAACCCTCTGCAGCTCTCAGATCAGCTCAAGTTAAGGAGCTGCTCAACTGCTTGGAAGCTGAGGAACAGATGCTGGCTTTGGGACACCTCTACAGGCAAATCAACAGCAACAGAAGGGTCTGAGCACATACAAGTATGTTAGCACAACTGACTCCTAAGTAACATCAGAAAAATCAGCAATACCTGCTGAGTCAGCTCAGGAAACTACAGATGCACTAATATAGCTAAAAGAACTTGCCTAGAATTTGAACATACTGCACCTCCTTCCAATTTCTGCTACCGAGCTCAACATTTTCAAGAATATTGGAATTAACATATGGGGTCTTTGGGTTTTCAAATAGTTGCAACAATCTCACACTTAAAAACGTGAGAAATATGAATAATGATGTTATTTCAGAGTACTTACAGTCAATGTTTTTTGGTAGTATGTTATCTTTACTCGAACAGGATAGGGCTTGTTACGAAAGTCCCTCTGACAGGATGCCAATGCTTGCGTGGAACCATCACTATGCAAGAAGACAACTTGCATAAAACTATATCTTATGATTTATCAGCTAAGACAAAAAAGCATCAATGTATCACTAAGCAACATCATGATAGTTTTTCAATATGCAAGTTTTTCAAAAGCCGTCCCACAACTGCACTGAGCTTTTCTGAAGTCTGGGATCAACAGTACTAGATGCTTTACACAGGACACAATATAGATAGAATGCAGTAATGGGGAAATCTGTTTGCTTCTAAGGTATATTCCTACACCTGTGAAGTGAGATGGAAATAAGCTATAGTCTGGACTGCACGAACTAAGCTAGACACCTCTCTTCTCAGAGAATCCCAAAAGTTGTCAATTGTGCTGTTGACAATAAGCAAACAGAAATCAAAATTAAACCAATTAATTTTAGTAACAGGCAATTAGCTTTCAGTTAGTCACTTTTGTCAGTTATTAGCTGTGCGTGGAAGATACCCATAAGCAATGAAGCGGTAAAAAGTCTGTACCTCCATTTATCTGAGTTCACCCATCCCAAAGAACACATGCCATTTAAATATCCATCAGTTGCCAATTTCTGTGCTGTTACTGCCCAGTGTTTTAACAAATAGAAAAACTCAAATGTAAAGGAAACAAAGTTTAACATGAAAGAAACCTTTATGTTTCGCAAAGAGTTTCATGCAACATTTCATCATTCAAAAGCAAACATTTATCATTAACACTGAAAATAAACTTACTTCTGATGGTCATACAGAAGTTTTCCATTGTTGCCTACAACAATCACTCCAGGATTGTTTTTCTAGAAAAAGAAATAGCAGACAAATGGAATAGTTTAATTCGAAGTGAAACATAAGTAACATCACTGATAGCCTTTCTGCGATAAAGCACCTGAAGTCATTACACTACAGATACACCACAGATGTTTTTATTCTTTCTGTACTTCAGGATTACATAAGCAAAATGACTGAGTAGCACTGTGTCACGCTGCATGCTTTGCAAGAGACTGCTACATTCTTTGCATAGTTAGGGGTGAAAAAAACCACACAAATTAACTTTCTGGATATACTACCAATTACCATCATTCAACAAATACAGAAATACAAAAGCCACAGATAGGAAAAATTCATATGTAGCGAAGATATAGATCTTAAAACTAATAGATGACTTAATACATCCAACTTTGGCTACGTAACACTGGGAAAAACATCCGAACAGACACTATGTTGACATCCGACTGACCTTGTCACACTCATTAGAAAAGCCTCAGGAGCTATCTGTCAGAGACTAAACAAAGTCTGTTAAACACATCCCCAGTTATTTAAATTGCTAGAGGATGAGAACAAGCTAAAATGATAATTTTACAGATTTAACAGATTTACAGTGCTATTCCGGTTGCCTCCAGGAGTTTATGAAGTGAACTCAAGTTTTTACAAAAGCACAATATTTCAGAGTTAATCTCCCTTCCCCCTTCAACATTTCAATTCATCATCTCCTAAAGTGTACTGGTTTTGGCTGGGATAGAGTTAAATTTCTTCATAGTAGCTTGTATGGGGCTATGTTTTGGATTTATGATGAAAACTGTGTTGATAACACAGCGATGTTTTAGTTATTGCTTACACAGCCTCAAGGCCTTTTCTGCTTCTCACAGTCCCCCACCAGCAAGTAGGTTGGGGGTGCACAAGAAGTTGTGAGGGGACATAGCCAGGACAGCTGACCCCAACTGACCAAAAGATATCTAGATCATATGGCGTCACGCTCAGCAATAAAAGCTGGGGGAAGAAGGAAGGGGGGACATTCAGAGTTATGGCATTTGTCTTCCCCAGTTATTGTTACACGTGATGGAGCCCTGCTGTCTTGGAGATGGCTGAACACCTGCCTGCCAATGGGAAGCAGTGAATGAATTCCTTGTTTTGCTTTGCTTGAGCGCGTGGCTTTTGCTTTGCCTATTAAAACTGTCTTCATCTCAACCCACGAGTTTTCTCACTTCTACTCTTCCGATACTCTCCCCCATCTCACCAAGGGAGAGTAAGCTAGCAGCTGTGTGATACTTAGCTGCCTACTGGGGTTAAACCACAACATAAAGGAATATACTGTCCCACTAGACAGATTACCAGCTCTTAAGAAAAGAAAACAACAAGACGCCGATTTTAAGAAGTCACGAAATAACGTCCTTCTCAATGCACAGTGGTGGGGTAGGGTGGTCCTTTGTCTTCAAAAAAACACTACAACCAAACTATCTGTATCTTTTCCTTCATTACACAGATTGTGACAACAACAGAACAGTACATCAGTATACAGAAATACATCAGTGTTTCTACTTCTCAGCAATGGAGTTTCGTTAGCTTAATTGCTTTGACATCAGTATTACCTGCTCAGTACCACTGGAATACTTTAATGTCATCTTCTTATTGTTTATTTCAGTTTAACAACAGTAGTATTGAATTACTTCAGAGCATACTTGCATATATTCTGCACAAAGCGTGTACAAACAGTTCAATTTCGAAGCACTCATGAATGCAGCTCAAGTCTAATCTACCTTACAGCATAGTAGACAGCTACTAACAAAAGTATTCAATGCTAATGGTCAATAGGCGGTCCAGTTTCTGCTGGGGATCTTGTCTGGATCCAAGCACATACAAGAGCTTGAAAGATAGTAGAGAATCTAAAGTGGGGAATAACTTCTCAATTTTTTGCTTCCAGAGGTCACAGGAAAGATGTGCTGTAAACTCTTGTGACATTTAGTGTAATTTCAGGTGTTCAGAGCTATGAAATTGTATTTCTCTTTTTAAAAAGCTCTTGTCACTACTTCTACAGAGAAATAAAAATTCAACTCTAGTACAACCTACAGCCTTAGGAGTTAGAGAAAAAAAGCTCTGCAGTTTTCCAGTCAGCATCATAACCACGGTGCTTTGAGTTGGCAGTACTAGATGAAGTCTACTTCTGGATGCTAGCATGTTAGGCTGAAGACCAGTTACAGCACCAAACATCTTCCAGCAAACACACTAAAACAGCACAAAGAACAACTCCTCCATACTGGGACTGAAGAAAGTAACAGGTTGTCATTAAAAAAAGTCTTACAAACTCCAGTATTTAAGACATGTCAGACTAATGAAGGCATGACGAAGACTTTTGTTTTGACTAGAAGTGACACATCATCACTTTCTAAAAAAAGGGTTTCACACCACACTGACTAAACTTGTCATGACCAGAGTCCCAGTGCTATCAATGTTCTGGCAAACAGTGTTGTCCACACGCAATTTTTGATAGATGGCATCTTCAGCCAGCCAAACTACGCCAGTGTCCATACTCATTCCAGAAGTCAGAAAAAAAAAAGGGGGGGGGGGAAGGATTTAAAAATTCTTAGTAAGTTGAACAATACTCTAATTCTGTGTCTTGTCTTTGAAGATCAGAAAAATAAACGTCACCTTCAGTCTTTCAACTTTTATATATGATGAAGTTTGCTGTATATCAAAAGCCATCTGCAGGAAACAGCTTGTACACCTACAAAAATACATCTAAAACATCTAAAAGCAAGCCAAAGTAGTGCAGGAAAAGCAACAGAAGCAGAACAGAGCTACTATGTAATGTTAAAAGTTTCCCAGGATCATTCTGGACTGGAAAACTGGAAATTCAAAACAGCAACTCTCACCCCCATCTGCTACAGAATTTTTGCTGCTGAACTACTCAAGACAGGTTTGTTGCAAGAAAAAGAGCATCTCTGAAGAGAGACATAGAAATTTGTGGTTCCACAGGGTCATATTTTGGTACAATATGCCTCTTCCAAAGCACACATCTTCAGATATATCAACATTTCAAATTGTGCATGGACATTCCAAATTTCAGCTTGTACATATGTACATGGCATTTTCCCTCCAAACCTAACACATGAACCAACATTCAGTGGAGATTCATTATGTGTTATGCTTCAACTTTCAAGCTTAAAAAAAAAAATGTGAAAAAGTCTAGTAAAAAAATCTATAAGGGAAACTTGACTGTTTTAATTTATCCCTTCGAAATGAAGGAGGAGAGAGTAGGAAAATAACATCTTATTTTTTTCCACAGTTATATGTACAAAACAGGCAGGAAATTGATTTATAATCTTTGCTAGAAGAGTTTGCTTCCGACTAACCTTTCCATCATTGTCAAAGGAATCGAAGAAAATTCCAACACCATTCCATTTATCAGCTGCCCCAAAAACAGGACCTTCCAAGCCTTGCTCTTCTGTAAACCAGATTGCCTATTACAGAAAGCAAGTAAGAGTCGTAAGTCAAGATTCACTATTTAAAGCATGTCTGTTTTTTTTCAGTTAGGTCAAATTCTTAATACCAATCCATCAGCTCCAATGCGGCCTCTTCCTGTAACTCGAAAGGTCACTTCGACTTCCCAATATTCAAATATTGACTTGTTTTTTGTCCACACTGATCCTCTTTGGCTTTTCAAAGATGTTGTTATACGAATCTGATCTGCACTTGGTATGGCATCTAGAAAGGAAAGGAACCAACACTGAATATATGAAAGAGGGAGTATTGCAAGTGCTTAACTAGCCAATTAACAAATCCTGTAAATTCACAAAATTTTCTGGTCTCCTCAACCAGAGAACAGTTTTCAAAATAACTTTTTAGTGGAGTACTCAACCACTTGAGAGGGGAAGAAAAAAACCCAAACCCCTACACCCCTACTTTCAACAACTTGATTACTACTGCTTTACAGAAGACTTAATCACCTTCCATTTGGGACCACAATGCACAACTTAAATAGAACATCGGTCTTGCTGTTAAGATACATACTAAATTAATAATAATAATAAAAAAATTAGGTCTAGCTTTCTGCTGTATCCCACATGACTTTTTACAAATCAGATTTCTGCTTTTTAAAAACAGATGTTCTAATTTTCTGGTTTAATAGTTTAAAAGAATAATAGGCATACATTTAGAAGGATAGATTCATTCACTTGTATTAAATAACATTTATTTTTGTGATTATCTGCTTTAAAAAGCAGGGAAAAAAGCTCATCTATAGATAGTTTCCTTCATGTCACTTGTAGCATAATGTCAAGTAAGAGTCAAAAATTAACACTCATGAATTAACCAAAATAAGCTAAATTAAAGTCTGTCAAAAAAATAAAAACACAGCAGAAGTTACTGCAGAGAAACTATACTAAGGTAGAACCTTATGTACAGTAAATATCAATACATTTTACAAGGGGGGGGGACTTACGGAAGACTAGATGCCTTTTTGAGTACAATCAAGTCCTTAACCCATACTGCACAGGATACATAAATTGCATAAACTACATTCAATAAAGTCGTATTTGCTAAGGCACAATTTCCATTTCAAGTTTTTATATTACGAAATTCAACAGGATTTCTAGCCATACACAAGTATTAGTGGCTTGTCTTAGGTACACCGTACCGGTGTGAGGCCGACTTTCATTTTGACCACCAGTGACACATCATCACTTCACAAAGAAGAGTTTCATACCGTCTTGAGTCAACTCCTCACAGCAGTGGAGCTACCACATCACGAGAAAGGTCACAGGTGACTTCGAACCGCACGTCAAAGAAACCGGGGGAGAATTTGCGGACATTTTAACGCTATCACCGTATCTCCTCTGTCCCTTTGGAGCTACGTGGAAATCCGCAGGACAGGGCCCAAAGGGTGCGCGGAGCCGGGGGCGGGAGCACGGACGGCGCTCGAGCGTAACGGCGCGCTCGGTCCGCCCCTGCCCGCGGCAGGGCTCTGCCGAGGGAGGCAGAAGGCGCGGGGGACAGGGGGCGACGAGTCCGGCTCTTCTCCCTTTCGGCAGCTGCAGGCCGCAAGAGCTCCCGCCGCTTTCACCCGATGCCTTGGCGGCCCCCGGAACCCAACCAAGGCTGACCAGTCACGCCGAC